TGGAAGCAAACGATACCCTTCTTCAAAGGATCCACGCATAGCAGCCATGATCCGCTCCTTTCCCCTCCAAGCCTGCTTGTAAGATAAGGTGATACCATGAACACGGTGAATTTCTTCAAGAATCTCCTTTGGCTTATAATTAGGGTTCTCCCTAAGTCGTTGCTCTACAGAGTTTGCAACCCACTGAACTGATGCTTGCTGATGACCAAGATGAGAAATTCCTCCACATGAATGGTTTTCATGGATGGTCCTGATTGTGAAAGTAGGAACACCAGGAAGCTTTGCTGCGTGTATGCGCCAGGGGCATCCCTCACTTGCACATTTGGCAGTAAAACGAGTTTTGTCAGATTTAATAGTCTGCATTTCAAAATGAAGAGCAATGGCTGTATCTCTCAATGCCCTACGGCAGCTTTTGACATCTGGGAACTCCTGCCCCACAGAAAGCTCAAAAGTAGGGTTTGTAGCAAGTGTACGAGCCTGAAGAACCGGACTGCTATACTCTACAATCTGTGAATCATGAACTGTCAATTCCTGCGATGGTTCCATCTCCATTTCATGGCTCTGCACCACAGCTAGTTCCAGATTCTCATCAAGCTCTTGGTTATCTGAGACAGCCAATTCATTGTTCTCTGATAAACCCAGTTCATGATTCTGTGAAGGGAGAGCCAACTCATGGTCGTCATGTTCAGGTTTCCGATCCATCATCTCATTCTCATGTCCATAACTGTGACCAGCATCTACTTCTTGGTCATTGCTCTGTCCTAACCCTAACTCATGATCATGAGGATGTCCTAAACCCAGTTCATGGTCATGGCCATGGGTCTGTTCCAAACCCAAATGATGTTCATGGGCTTGTCCCAATTCCAAATCATGATTCTGTCTGAGACCCAAACTATGGTTATGTCCTAGCACCAGTGACTGATTCTGGCCCAGTGCTAAATTGTGACTTTGTCCCAGTATCAAATCATGGTTAGCCATTGCCAGAATTGATAACAATATCTCAGCAATAGCAAAATCTTAGCCACCAGAAGAAACAAACAATTTATTAAGTGACAGATTTTCCAGCACTGTCAATTCATACCTGCCAAGTGAAATACTATTATTCAGTTAAAACTTACAGTTACCATCCTAGCCTCAACCAAACTCAAAGCAACAACTTAAACAGCAGGGACATGAAGATATATGGAAGGAAAAAAAAAAACAAACACGCAAAAGCCAAACAACGAAACAATTTATCCTCACATAGCTAACTTATTTATAGGTCAAGAAATCACTATACCAAACATAAAAAAAACTTTGCATTCAATATGGACGCCCAATATCTGCATACAGAAACCCTAAACTACGGAGTATTTATGCATCACAAGTTAGAAAATTATAAAATTTCCCAGCCGAGACAATGATTTTTGCACCTCTTGAGCTAAACCAACTTATCAGGAGTATAGAATTGCGAAAACTAACCTCAGCGATCCAAATATTCAGATAAAGAAACCTCTTTTCCACTAAAAGCAACCTCCAAAACCTAAACTTTTAACCAAAACTGACAAAATTCAAGCAAAATCAAACAGTACCCATCAATCAAAAGAACCCACTTAACCCGACAAAAACCTTAATACGATATCTTGAAAATTACCAAACGGCAAACTCACTTATAAACTCTAAACAGTGAGCATTAAAAGATAAAATCAATCACAAGAATTAACCAAGACGGATGAAGACCAAAACAATACCTGAAGAAACACCCTCCAAAGGGCTAAAAACCGGAGAGACGAAATGCGTCTTGAGTGAAAACCAGGACAAAGTGAGAAGAATCTAACCCCGGGAGCTAGGGTTCGGTGAATGAGGAATCGTACTGAGAGATGGAACGAGAGAATGGAAATGAAACGAGAATTTGAAAAGGAGCCGTTAAGGGAATTGGCGGGTAAAAAAGAGAGATGGAGAAAATCGGGAATTAAAGATGAAGGAAGGGCAAGAAGGGTGGGATTGGGAATTACAGGGGCAGAAGAGGGAGAGAGTTTGAGGGTCGAGAAGGGAAATCCAGGTCTCGCCTTGTGAGAGAGAAAGGAGGGTATTTAGGTCAAAATATTTTCTTTTGCGGATCGAGTCCTTATACTTTTGGAATTTTGCCTTTTGGCCCCTATTTTTTCTTTCACGTTTTCTTTGCCGACTATAAAATAAGTAATGTTTAGAATTATAAAATTGATTATGAATTCACAATTATAATTATGTATGTATGTATTTATGTTTATCTTCTATAAATAAATACATAATTTTAAGATTGTAAATATTTGTATTGCATGAGTTATAAATTTTTTAATAATTGTAAGGTCTCGAAAAAAATTTTATAATACAATTTTATTATCCATATAACTCTTCTTATTTCGAACTAATATCTTATTATGATTATAATGATGTTTTGATCCACATTATTAAGAATCTGTTTGAAATGGAAAAGAAAAAATAAAATCCTCTCGTCTATTATTTTTAAAAACATTAAGATAAATTTTTTGACGAATATATTGATATAAATAGAATTATATGGTACAATTTTATAAAACATAGAAATATTCTATGCGTATTTATATTATCTTATTTAATTGAATCATACTCAAATTCTTAGTTTATTTTTACGATTAGTCTTTTATTTTTGAATTAATTCTCAATTTAACCTACCATATTTTAAATATTAATTAAAAATTTCATTTTCATTATTAATCTAATTAGGTATCGATGTAAAATTTAATAAAAGATGTCGAATATAAACATATATACTGAGTTAAAAAAAAAATGGAGATAAAAGTTAAAATATGTTGAGTTTATATTGAATAGGTACTCCGAATGTCCATCGCGATATTAAAATTTGACAAAACGACACTGAAAACTTTAATTAATTTAAATGTAAAATTTAACAAAAGAATTAAATTGAATTAATAAAAGTAATTAACTCGAGTTTAACCTAATATAATTTGAGATATGAAGATGGGCTTGCCCTTGTTTGACTTTTGACTTGGGAGTCAACAGGACCTCCATGGTATTTTTAAAAAAGTAGAGGGTAAATTTGGTAAATGAAGATAATGACAATCTATATTTCAGTTGGTTTAACGGTCAAATCATTTCTCGTGGAGGAAAAAATTTATAGTGCCGTGACGTCGTGGCAGCTACCTCAAACTAACATCTCATTGGTCGGCATCTTCCTCTACCGTTAATTTCCATTGGTCGGTTACCTTAACTTTTTCACCGACAAGTCAGAGTAGTGAAAATATGACAACGACATGTTATTCTATATTGTTTTTCTCTCTTTCATGGGTTTGTATGTTGTCTTCTTCCCAGCCCTTCAATTTGTTTGTAGTTTAGAAGAAAGGAGATACATACATAACATGTATATGTATATAAATAAAATATAAATTAAAAAAAAACTAATTTTTATAGTGAATTCCATGTAGAATCTTGCTGTAAACTCGTAGAATAATCAAAAAGTGACCTTGCTCCTATTTCCTTTGCGATTTTCTTTAATGGAGGGTTACTTTCGGTAGGTGTCGTTTTCTCTTTCAGCAGCCGACTTTTTGGCCTTTGTCGGCTGTGGTAAAAGACTCCTTTTCTTCATATATAATAATAATGCTGGAAATAATATATGTGAGGAACTACGTGAGCTCTTTGATGTTTTAATTATTTCAAAAATCATTATTTTTTTTTTTGTGTGTATTGTTTAGTTCTTTCTCTGTGAACTGGTACATGGGTTTTGTCTTCTGTCATGAATATGGAGATGGGTCGTTTTGTTTTGACGATTTGCCTCTGAATTCTCAATGTTTTCTCTTGGATTTATCATACAAAGAAGGTCAGCTTTCTATTTCAGCAGATGACGTTTCTGCTTCATTATATCTTCTGGGCGTCGTGTTATATGATGTTGAATGGATTTGTTTGCTGCTAAATAAATTTGATTTGTTGGTTTCTGATTCCGGATATTTGTTAGGTCTTGTTGGATCGTCTTTGGAATTTCATTAGATTTAATCGTTTTATTTTCTGCTGGTTTTTGCTTAAATTTTTAGGTCTTTTTTGCTCTAGGGATAAACTGGTTTTCATGAGAAAGGGTCTGTCTTCGTTGTTAATAATTGTTTAATGTAAGTTTCGTTTTATTAACCCCTTTTAGGTCATAATTTAGTGTTGTAACTTCAAAAGGTGATGATTATGATGCTTTGTTCTGTTAGCTTCTTTTTGGGGGCATATTTTGTACTGTTCTTTTAGAATTAGGTTTTGACTTTTCACTTAGAACTTATCTTCCTAGTTTTGATTAGAATTAGGGTCTTTCCTGGATGGGTCTGTTAATAATTAGCTTCTATTTTTTTGATATATGCCTATCAAGTTCTCTGGGTGGATTGCCATCCTATGATAGGTGTACACCTTGGCATATACTCTTGTGTGTTTTAATTTGAGAAGTTTGGCTTGCTAGTTTCTGATTTCAGATAGATGTTTTGGTCTTTGTGGTGATTCATTCTTGATTTTTTTGAATTTGATTGCAATGGTTGTGCTATTAGTATTGATTCTTGTTTAAGGTTCTTTACTGCAGATTGTCTGTTTATCTGTGCTTGCATGTGGTTTATGGTTGCCTTTATTGCTAGCTGGTTTGCATGAATTCGGATTCGGAAAGATGTTGATTCATTATTTTATACCCTTATGGGATAGGTTTTGCAATTTTCTCCTATTTCATCAAGGATTTACCATTTCTGTTTTTGATGTTTTTATGTTAGGATTTCATATATCCAAGCACTGAATTAGAAAATTTTCTTTCTCATATTTCATATAAAATTTCTTTGCTTGTGGGTTGATAATATTGGATGAAAGAATGGATTGCTCTTTAGAGGTAGTTGATTCATATGTTTATTAGTTCTTATTTAGCTTCACTGTTTAAAATCAAACCTACTTTTCCTGTTCTTTTGGTTTATATTCTTTTCGCCTATGAGTTATCCTTTTCCATTTACCCTGATCTTTGTTGATTGTTCATGGCTACAGTGTTAAAGATCACCTTGGATTAACAATTTTGTTTCGGAAGGATTGGAGGTCATTCCGTCTTAAGTAGTCAACAACTCATCCTGAAGTCATTTGTCTGTAAACTATGGCTGCGAGGGGAGCTTTATCTGTAAAAACATTGAACATTTCCTGTGGTTTTAATCGAGCTTTGAAATCAGCTCTTTTTGAATGGTTGCTGATTTTTATGCTTTTTATTAATGCTGTTTTCTCATACTTGCTTACGATATTTGCTCATTATTGCGAACTGCAATCTCCGTGCCTTCTATGCTCTCGACTTGATCATTTCTTTGGCAATGAAAAACTGAAGTATTACTTGGATTTGATTTGTGCAAACCATAAGCTGGAAATCTCATCCTTAGTTTTCTGTCATGCCCATAACAAGCTTGTTGATGTCCATGGAATGTGTGAAAGTTGCCTCTTTTCATTTGCAACAATCAATAAGTCCAATGCTGAAACATACAGATTATTGGTTGGGAAACTGGGGGAGAATTCTGGCTCCAGTTTTAATGAGGAACCTTTGCTCGAGGATGATAATCCTGTTCATTCGAGCACAAGGAAATGTTCTTGTTGTAATCAGCCATGGGTATCAAGAGGGTATGCCAGAAACCTCTTGTGGTCCAAGTCAGGTGTGTCTGAGGCTGCTGAGCCTGATATACATTTGCAGGGTGGTGTTGGACATGGAGAATATGAGATACAGTTGCCGACTAGAACTACTCATCAGGAAAATATTGAGTCTCATCCATTGTCTCATATAGCATATAGAGAACTTAAGGTTAATTCTGAAACTGGATCTGAAGCATATTCTGAGGATGAAACCATTGCTCCAATTCGTGAAGCTGATAATCAGACAGAAGATCATGCTGTTCAATGGATTCAGTTGGAACATGGTATTATTAGTCTGTCTGATATTGCCGCTACAGAGAAGTTGATAGATCCAGCTTTTGCTCCCCAGCCTTCTGGTTTTGTTTCCGAGGAAGAATCAGAGGTCATCAAGCATCATAATGGTGCATCCCTAGAATCTAAGGTTGCAGTTGGGGATGGACTGGAAGAACTTAACTGGCAACCAAGCAATTGCAAAACTAATACGTCTGTGCTGGCTGAGCTTAACCCCCTTCCTGAACTGATACCTACGCTCTCAAGTGATTTGAAAACTCCTGTTGATGTTTCAAATGACAGCAAGCTTATTCCCAATGGTGATGCCTTTCCATCATCAAATACCAATGAAAGCTTTCTTGAAGTGTCAAAAGCAAGCAAGATTCTCCCACTTGATGATATGCCTTCATCATCAAATGCCCATGAAGATCCTCTCGAAGTAGAAGTACCAGAACAGGCTAAAATTGTTTCGTTTGATGACACTGTTCCATCTTTAGACGCTGCAGAATCCCCTGTTGAAGGATTAAAAGAAAGCTGTAAGTATCAATAAATGCTTAATATTTAATTTTGAGGATATGAATATATATTTCCACAGTATCTATAAGGTGCATCTCATCCATCTACTCTTTTATTTGTCCTATAAGATGAAGTCATCCTTGATGTTGCTATAAACAACTGAATCTTCTAATAAATTATCTTAATATACGAGAGGTTCTTCTTGCATGTATCCACCATATGCAAGATGAACCATGTGGATTTCTGAAATTGAAGTACTATTTTCAATCTTGAGATTCGTATCAAAAGACAGTTGAGAATTTATTGTACATGGTACCTATCTGACTCCTGGATCAGGTGTTGCAAACATTGTCGAAGTCACGGAGCCAGCTGTTACAGAGTCAGAGAACATTTGTCAGGCCAGAAGTAGACTTGTTCCAACTGAAGCAGCTCCCGAAATAAACCTTTCTACAGGTGACCTTAGTAGATTTGTTACAACTGAAGCAGCTCCAAAACTAAACCCTTCTACAAGTGACCTTAGTAGATTTGTTACAATTGAAGCAGCTCCGGAAATAAACCCTTCTACAGGTGACCTTAGTAGACTTGTTACAACTGAAGCAGCTCCAGAAATAAACCCTTCTACAGGTGACCTTAGTAGACTTGTTACAACTGAAGCAGCTCCGGAAATAAACCCTTCTACAGGTGATCTTAGCAGACTTGTTACAACTGAAGCAGATCCGGAACTAAACTCTTCTACAGGTGAGCTTAGTGTGCAAGTAGGCGACACCCTGGATCTGAGTGATGCTTATAAGATAGCTGTAGGCAACAAGGGAAAACAACAGTCTGATTTGCTCGCAGAACAGTGGACTAGTCGTGATTCTTCAAGACTTACCGAAGACCTGAAAGCCTTGCTGTCGCAATTATCTGCTAGGGGGATTGAGCAATCCCTGAATGATATAAGCCCTAAGTTGTCCGTAAGTGGTGATGACCTAAGGACTCCTGATGCTTCTAGCTCTAATGGAATCCAATTACTTCAGAGGAGGACCTCACTTGAGAGAAATGAGTCTAACTTATCCCTGGACGGAAGTCTTGTTAGTGAAATTGAAGGTGAGAGTGAGGTTGATCGGTTAAAAAGGCAGGTTGAGCATGACAGGAAATTATTGAGTGCTTTGTATAAGGAATTGGAGGAAGAAAGAAGTGCCTCTACAGTTGCAGTAAACCAAGCAATGGCCATGATTACTAGGCTTCAGGAAGAGAAGGCAATTCTCCAAATGGATGCCTTGCAGAACATAAGAATGATGGAAGAGCAAGCTGAGTATGATATGGAAGCACTGCAAAAAACAAACGATCTTCTTGCTGAAAAGGAGAAGGAGATTCAAGATCTCGAGGCAGCATTTGAATTTTATAGGCAAAAGTTCTCGAATGAAGCAATCTCCGAGAATGTTATGGATGCAACTTCCAGTTCGAGGGCAGTAGAGAAGGAAGTCGATAACCCAGAAGGCAATTGTGCTAAAGAAAGCATGGGTGAAATTACAAATTCAGTCACTGAGAAACCTACTATCTTTGACAAACTTGAGGGAACAGACACATCAGTGAGGGATATGGATAAGGGTGCCTTGAAGAATTCACTGCTGGGATTTGAAGACGAAACATTGTATATTCTTGAGAGTTTGAAAAAAATAGAGAAGAAGCTTCATCTTTTTTCTAATAATGGAATATACTCAGACTTGGGTAATGGTGAATGTTCTGAACACGAAGGGGACTTGGAACATAACAGGAATAGGTTTTCAATGGAAAATAATATTCCTGAACAAGGAGAGAAGTCACATGCTTCCTTGCTTGAAGATTATAGCGGGGAAAACTTGCCTGTAGAATGCAAAGGTACCGATTTATCTTCTCTTGAAAATGAAATATCTGATCTAAATGAAAAACTAGAAACACTCAAGGCAGACCAGAATTTTCTTGAGCATGCCATTAACTCGCTAAGAGATGAAGAGGAGGGCCTGAAATTTATTCGGGAAATAGCTTCTCACTTGGAAGCATTAAGGAGGATCGGGATAAGATGAAAAGATCGGGCTTCCACTTGAGAATCTTTATGTTAACACCATAAAAGGTGGGTACTTCAGTACACTACTGGAAGGTCAAAGATGTGAATTCTCTTCCCCCTTTTAATACACAAGATCCTATGCATTTTATCTAATTGAAAAGTTCTTGAAAATATCTATTTTAGTGCAACAATTCTCTTGTTAATGCTTCTTCCCGTCCTTAAGAAATATCTCAAGCGCTCTGAATTCTTTATAAGGAAGGACATTCATTTGAAAACTTAAATTTGATATTCGAACCCGAGAAGGGAAAATAAGCATCTCTTTCCTTCTTCCAAGGAACTAAAGTGGCTATTTGGAATAATACACCAGTTAGATTTTGCCATACTGTTCCATTGCATCTTCATTCTGTATTCTTCATGACAATTTTCTGGTTTCTATGCTTTAACTTCTAGTCACTTACCATGTGATTCTCTCAGATATCGGAGAACGATGACACGCAGATTTCCCAGAAAGGAGGTTGAATGTGACAGAATTGAAGCCTGGTTAATCAAGACTGGCTATCAATTATACAAAATCAATGGTTTTTTTTCTAATTCTGCTCTTTTTCTTTTGAGTGGGAGAGTGTTTTGATAGCTAACATATTGCTGTATAGATGGATTTGATGAAGGGTTTATCTTTTCTCCTGTTTGTAATACTGAGTGTGAAGAGTGTGGATATTAGCATATTTTTTCTCCAAATTAGGGTTGAAGATTGATAAGCAGAGTGAATTGTACAAGGGGGTGAAATTTTTGTGTAAAGCTTTACTACTTTGGTAGGTTGAAAATAATTAGTCAGCTTGTTGTATATTAAAACTAAAACACAAGTAATTCTTACTTTCCTTTTAAGTGAAGAAAAAAAGGTTGGATCAGAGTTTTTATCCCGTTATACATATTTCAACTAAATAAATTTAGTATTTGTCACTGTAATTTTATCAAAATATTGTTGAATAAGTTTTTGGCTATGCTGAAATAATCTCTACCTGTGAATTTTTTTTATGAATATAAAAATGGCAAAAATTAGAAAGAACTTTAGAAACTGTGATAGTGAAAAAAATTATTATTCTAAAGTTATGATATTTGTTTGAACCCAAAAATTCAAGGACTCCATTACAATTTGGTGTTTAATTTGATTATAAGAATTTATAGATAAATGTTAATAAAATAAAATATATTAAATTCATTATTTTCAAAAAGATTCCTCCTTTCCTTTCTGGTTTTCTTCCAAAAAAATTGAAAGTATCCGAGGAAAAATTCATTATTTCTGTTAGCTGTAATTTTACTCAAAACGTTTTTACCCATGAGAGAAATTGGGGAACTTGAAAGAGTTTGAGAGCAGACGAGAGGCGCCGCTGAGGCGCTAACAGTAAAGAAGCTTTCTTCCCTGCTCGTCTCCGAGTTCTTGCCATTTCGTCGATTTAATCGAAGATAAACTCATAAGATGTTAAAACAAAACACCCTCACCGCGTTCTCAAAACACCCAGAATCTGTCTTCTGTGCTTCTGCTTATTCCTTCAATTCTCGGTTTTTGCTGAGAAGAAAGCACTCACTAGGCTTCTGCATGGAGAACTACAAGCTTCACTGCTCTTCTCCCAAGCGTTATAACCCAGTGTTGGCTTGTCGAGCTTCACACGATTCTCACGAGTCTACTTCTAGGTATAAATTCTGCTTGTGGAAGTTATTTTTCTATGGGATGCTATGATATTCTTTGACTTTGTGGTGGGGTTGATTTTTAGAGCAGAGAGCAACACAGGTTTCTGTAATGTTAATCAAAAGAATTCACTACAGTGTTTTGAAGGGATGGTTTCGGTTTTTTCTTTCAAGTTTTTGCTTTTAGTAACTAGTATGGACTTACCCAGTGAGGCTATAGTCGTAGAAGTGATTTTTTCCCCCTTTTTTAACACAAAGATTCTCTGTCTAAGTGGTAAGGAGGATGTGCCTGTACATGGACTATCGGAGGTGATAGTTGGTGTGCTGGGAGGAGGACAACTGGGTCGTATGCTGTGCCAGGCAGCTTCAAAAATGGCCATCAAAGTTATGGTCTTGGATCCTACAGAAAATTGCCCGGCAAGTGCATTGGCTTATGACCATATGGTTGGGAGCTTTGATGATAGTGCTACAGTTCAGGAATTTGCAAAAAGGTTCAGATTTTTTGAGCTGATTTTCTTTTATGCCATTTCCTTTTTTTTATACTTTTTTTTAATTGACGTTTGGTGATTGGATTAGAGGTATTCTAATATGCTGATTTTTCTTCTGGGTAGTTAGATGTGGAGTATTGACTGTTGAAATTGAACATGTTGATGTTGCCACTCTAGAAAAGCTTGAGCAACAAGGAGTAGATTGTGAACCTAAAGCCTCTACCATTCGGATAATACAGGTATGCCTTTGGTCATCTTTAGAGTTGATTTCAGCTGCCATGACTATTGATAAATATTTTGCTAGCAAAAAAAATTTTGAACTCTCTTCTCCGGAAGTATTTTTTTGTTCTGCTCTAGTCCATTCATCTTTGATGGTATGATATGATATGACAAGGAACCATTCTCATGATTAGAAGCCTTTTGGTGCATTACCTAGAGGCTCAGGCATTATGTAAGCTCTGGTTCACCTTATAGTTGACTATTGGCTTCAGAATCTGTTCTCTGTTTAGTTCATCTGTAGTTCTTTACATAAATCAGTAATCTAAGTTAGTCTGTTCTCTGCTGCTTGTCATGCATTAGAATGACTATTGCAGTTCATAGTGTTTGCAGCAACGGGCAACCCCATTTGCAACTTTCCTCTAAAATTATGTTGCTTCCCTCTCATGTCTTCCTTGTTTTCCTAAATTTGAGTTTGTTAATAGCAACTATGATCTGTTTTTTGATGACAGGATTTATCTTGCTGGCACTATTTTTTCTGCCTTTACAGGACAAATACATGCAGAAAGTCCATTTTTCTCGGCATGGCATTCCGTTGCCTGAGTTTATGCAGGTTGTTGCTTTTCATAAGTATTTCTCTGAAGGATTTACCAAAAAAGGTTTCTGTAAAAGTTAGTAGAAGTTTAATTAAGCTAATGATATCCAAACATGGATGTGGCAGATAGATGATCTTGAAGGAGCAAAAAGGGCAGGTGACTTATTCGGCTATCCTCTTATGATCAAGAGCAGAAGATTAGCTTATGATGGACGTGGAAATTCTGTTGCTAATAGTGAAGAGGAGATTTCTTCTGCTGTAACTGGTGAAGTGATCATTAGTTATTGTGACAAGAACTATTTCATAATTGTTATAATTCAGTGTCGATATTAAAATTCATGTGATGTTCTAATTATTTATTTCCGGCCAGTAAATAATAGAGGCGTGATATCAGCCAACTGCTAAGTGTATTTGATTTGTCATTTGGATTTAGTTATTTTTTTCTTTGAAATAGTCATTTGGATTTAGTTCTTTGAACATCAAAAGTTGATACAGTCTTCATTTATCATTTCATAAATCACAGGCATAGCTGGTATGTATCTCATCCTATCAAAGGATACTATCATTATAAGTTCTCATAAACAGAGATACATATAAATACTTCTCATTGTTAAATAGAAGTTGGTCTGATACTTGAAGAATCTATGGGTTGCATTATGGAAACTAATATTTCCTTCTACTCAGCATTGACTCCTTTTTATACCTTTTGAAACAATCATTATTTTTCATGGTTTATTTTTTGTAATTTTTACTATGGTAGGCAGCCAGCTTTCTAATTGATTTTGAACTTTTCATTTTTTATGCAGCTCTTGGAGGATTTAACGGTGGTCTATATGTTGAGAAATGGGCTCCCTTTGTGAAGGTTGATTTCTAGGATGTACTACTGACTTCAGTTATAATTTATTCAAGTATCTGTATTTTCAGATAAATGTATGCGTGCATGGGAACTAATTTAAGTTTTCTTAAGTCATGGGAAATAAGCTTTCATCTAATGTTTGGGATTGTTTTAGAGTGATAATTTACTTTTTTCCACTATGATTTCGGAAAAATTCTTAGAAATGTTTTGCTAGGAAAGACGGGAAAAAATGTAGTAAAGCTGAGATAATGCCTTCTGTAGATCTATTCTTTCCTCTTGTTCTTTTAAAAAATTTTAAGATACTAAGGCATTTTGTTCCTCTCTTCTTTTGACTTTTTAAGGAGCTAGCAGTCATTGTGGCAAGGGGAAGAGACAATTCCATCTTATGCTATCCTGTTGTTGAAACTATCCACAGGTTTGATGCTGGTTCTATTCATGCATTTTGTCTTGATAACCGTTTTGCTCTCTTTTATTGTGCTTTTATTTCAAGTAGATTTAGTTCTCCAGATGCAATTCACATTGTCGTTTGATATTGATTCTGCATGCTTCATATTTGATTGTAGACTTAGAGTTATTGACTTTGTAGGGAAAACATATGCCACATTGTCAAGGCACCTGCTGATGTGCCTTGGAAAATCAGGAAACTAGCCAATGATGTTGCACACGGAGCAATTAGTTCATTAGAGGGGGCTGGAGTTTTTGCGGTGGAGCTATTTTTGACAGGGGACGGTCAGGTTATAGTTTTGTCTTTTTCTTTCCATGGTTAAGTTGCATTACAATATTTGGTCTCTTAGTTTAAGTAATTTGCTGCTTTTGCCTAACTTACGAATTTGTTTATCTCTTTACAGATTCTATTAAATGAAGTGGCCCCTAGACCTCACAATAGTGGTCATCACACTATTGAATCCTGCTATACTTCCCAATTTGAGCAGCATCTGCGGGCTGTTGTTGGTCTTCCACTTGGGGATCCATCAATGAAAGCTCCAGCTGCTATTATGTACAACATGCTGGGTGAAGATGAGGTGAAATTATAAGCTTCCTCTCCCATTGCAATTTTAATAATAATTTTTTAGGATAAATTGTTTTTCGATATTTTCTTGTATCCAACATGGAAAACGGCTATGCTTCATGGTCACTTGTTGCAAAGAAGTCTTTGCACTAGTAGGGTTTTGCTTAGTAGGTTTTTTTAGCTGCTCTAGTGGTTGAGCGAGACCTGGATTTTTCTTTAAAATTTTTTTGATCTGCATCTAACATGTTATGTGTATAGGAAATTGATATTATGGGTCCACTTGGGAGGAGAAAGAGGAGTGATGGGGACTGGATCTTATGTTGGTCAAGCTCTCTTCTGTGGGCCCATTTCAGTACATCAGTTCAAGATGGTGTAAGAAAGGCTGCTACTATGAGCCATGGACATATAAATGTGGATATGTTTGTCATTAATACTGATACTTGCTATTAAGAAACTATTATCGATAAATATATGATTTGTGTTCATCCTTTTCATTTGTTTC